TTGATTTTGTGTGGTACGTTATAGTTGGGGGCTGTTGCTATTTCGAGTATGTTTGAATGCAGTGGGTGTGTATTGAATGCAGTGGGTGAGTTGGGCAGTCCAGCTTGTCTACAAATTAGCCGTTTAGAAATGACAAGAAATCAATTTGATAAAACCCATTTTTTGTCCGAGGTATAGAGCATACACATTTTCACTGAACGAAAGGTTACTTATCTATGAATATTTCAGCGTTTCATGAATAGTACATTCCATATTATAGTATTTCAAAATTTCAACGAGTATAAAGAAATACAATAAAACGTAGATTACCCATTTTATATATAAATTAGATTTGCATTTTGGGTTTACCCACAATGTTTACATTGTGGGTGTTGAAAATTAAACAAGGGTTTCCGAAACTTAAGGATTGATTTTATATTTTTTTGCATAATAAACACGTTGCTTTTTCTCGGCTGTAGAGCGTTAAAGGGTTCATTTTACTATTTTAAATGTTTATTATAGTAGAGGAGTTTGCCCACACTACCTTCACAACCTCAAATTGGGAATGAACACAATCGAATTGAGACTAAACACATTCATAATTAAACCTATCATCTTCAAATTGAGACCAAGCAATTTAAAATTGAAATCTATGTGAAGTTATGTTGTAAATTGCAAGTTTGAATTCAAACAATGTAAATAAATACAATAAAATGAAGAAATTGTGGATACATTCCTCAAAACCAACTTCATTAACATTATAATAATAACTTACATTTCAAAATAAACTTAATTTATGACACGAACACATTACTCAAAATAAATTTTTTGAACACAATTATAATTTACATAACCATATCTTCTAAATTTAAGGCATAAGGAATGAATCTTTGGACATGAGCGACATATCCAAATATAATTATTGGCATTTATTACTTCAATATTTTGATCTGTAATATTTTCTAACTGAAGACGAAACCGTTTGCTTCAGTATATTTGCCCTGTCTTCTTGGGCTAAAATTTGTGGCATTTTTGCACACAGATCTCGTTTAACAGCAGTCTTGAGGCTAGACCAGGCAATTTCGATCGGATTGAACATTGGGCTGTAAGGACTGAGCCTTAGTAAGTGATGGTTGCTGAATTCTTATTCTATGAATATTTCTTCCATACAATGACAGGGGGCATTAACAATTACACAGCATACGAATGGTACACGGTTAATGCAGCACGCAGACATTGTCGCACAAATTCTTTAGCTTCTTCCTTTCTAAAAGCGCCTCTTCTAATTTGATGGTGAATCTGTTCCATAGCACTTACGCAACCTAGGACATGCACATTGGCTCCGCGGCTCCATGCTGTTATGTCGTTGCATCGAGTACCTTTTTCGATCGTCCTTTCTTCCTTGAAATAAATAAATTATAATTTGTTTCGTCCGTGTATAAAATTGGGATGTTGTCTGCTTGATAATTTAAAAGTTGCAGCACATACGACGCTTTGTTTTGGTGCCAACACTATTCATTTTTTCAGGTTCTCTACGAAAGTCTTTCAATGTGTACATCAAACTATCCAAATGTTTCCGCAAACATTCTGTTCAAACACTAATTTGATGGTTTTGTTCCATTTTTAGTTTTAGATCTTTCAGTGTAGTTTTTGAATTTTCTTCGATGTATTTAATCATGAAAGTCCGATGTTCCTCCATAATTTTCATATTCCTCTTTCCACTTCGTTGCTTTGGAAGTTTATCTTGATTTTTCACATTTTATCCTATTTGAAAACAATACATTTTAGTAAACACAATCTTTCTTGAATTCTCTTATTCTCCTTATCAATTACTCGCTACAACCCCTCCCTTTTTGCATGCATGGCAAAACTTTCTCATCACTAATTTAGAGATTTTACTTTAACAAAAAACTTTTCTTAGAATGGCAAATGGCAAAAAATAAATGTTCCCCGTTGTGCTACTTCCCTTACGGAGATCCGCCGCAATCCTGAACGTTGTCCAGTTTCCATTCAAAATTCCCATTTCTCCATTTCCAAAGAATTCTGTCCAATCAAATGATGATCGCGTCCTCCACACACGTAATTGTATTTCCTTTCGAATTGAAATACATTTACTGCTTAAACATTGTGCATTTACAACCTTTTACAAATTCACCATTTAGACTAATTCTTCCCGCAACCAAATATCTACCCCTTTTAAATCTGACTCGCACCGTGTCAGAACATCGTCTGTCCAGTTTTTCAGCTCGCCCACCTTTCGTCTGTCTCTCATCTGCGTGAAATTATACTCGATCAGTTTTCATAACCCTGCGCTAGCAGCAATGCGTTGCTCGCTTCTGTATAATTTGCTGTGAATACTGTAACAGTCAAATTTATTCATGTTTGTTTCATTTGTAAAATAACGAAACGTTTGCTGCTCCTGACTATCGAAATGAATGCAGATATTTATCACAAGCACTTTCAATTGGTTGAATGATACTTTTTCAAGTAATAGCTGAGGTGTTAGCCACATAATATTGAAATTGCGATTTCAACGCTTGCCTGCGATGTTCTGAGTTGATCAACGGAAATCTGCGATTTTTTGACGGAAAAAGTATTGCCGAGCCCTGGTAACGGAAAAGTGGACACGTCATGTTCCAATATGTAGTAAATGCCTTCCTATAACGATTTGTAGTCAGAATTCAAGTTTTGTGGGTTCTTGATAACGAAAAATTGTCGACAAAACGTGTGTCCGTTCCTAACTGTGGCGCCCAATTTGAATTCCCCGATTAATCGGAACAAATCGCTGACCCTCAAGTTTGAGACACATTTAAATTTGAGGGTATTTTTACATGAAGTCTCCAAGTTTCAAATTTTTCTCAAAAATTGCTCCAAATTATTTTTGATTAATATTTGTCCTCGGGTAGGGTAAAAATTCATATAAAAATGGCTCAAGGCTCATTTTCTTTAAAATCCCTTATTTTTCGAAAATTTGCCAATGTTTGAAATTTGCTTTATACAACTACAATATCGAAAATAATTCTATATTTTCCCTTTGTGAAATTGTAGTTCTAAGGCCTTCAAATAAGTCCAGGTACAAATTTTCAAAAAATTGAGTAGTTTTCTTGTAATTTTGCATTTGGTATGTGCAATTTTTTAATTCTTGGAAAGATTTAACTTTTTTTTTTTTTTTTTTCCCTCCTGAAAAATTGTTTCCATGGACAGAGCAAAGGATGTTTAAAAATAGAGGTTTAAGTTTTGTGGACCTTCAAATTTTTAAGTGTTGAGAAAGTTTCAAAAAATGTGAAAACGTTTATTCTGTTGTAGTAGTTAGCGTGAAATAAAAAATTTAGAAACTTTATGTATACATTGCATTAATTTGAAGCATAAAATACCCCCAAAAAAGTTTTATATTAAAAAATTACAGAAATTACAATATATATATATATATTGTATTACATTATTTTAATTCTTATTTTTAGAAAGTTTTATTTTAAGCTAATATCTTAAATATACTTTTCCAATGTTAATTTTTTTTACTTATCGAAAATTCAGTGTTTGCCGAAAATGGGGTCAGCACCACATTTTTGGCCTCCTTTGAAACAGAGAAGAGAAAACGTAAAGAAAAAATTGGAGCAGTTTACGAGGAAATTGGAAACCAAAAAATGCTGATTTTACACAATTACATCATGGAAACAACTGTTTCAAAAACTAGTATTTACCTTATTTGAAGATGTTTCTTATTTCATGAAAGGAAAAAATCTTGATTATTGTATTGTAGAATGACGCAGAAAAAGTTTAGAACTTTTGCAATTTTCAGAATTTAAGGGAGTTAAACGAAAATGCGACCTAAGTCATTTCTGTATCTTTTGTTCTATCAGAGGAAAAAGTTTGGAGCCAGTTTCGAAAAAGATTTGAAAATATTGAGGATTAATTTTAAGTTTTCCCAAATTAAAAATATCAGTATTAATTGAAAGGACCATGACTTATGTCTGATCATCCTGTTATCCATCATCAGGTTATTCTGAATATGGTTTAGTCATTAGCAGTGTTCATTGTTTTGCTGCAATCTAATTTTGCCATACAAAGGACCCACCAAATGTGGATTCTGACTCCCCAAACGTAATAAATAATTTACTACATTTAGGAATAAGATTTGCCCACTTTATCGTTATCAGGTCCCAGCAATAAGAAAGTCTCTCAAAAAATAACCATTTCTGCCACATGACTAAAATACCTTTTCTTATGAAGCAAGACGAAAAAGTAAAAATGAGCCTACTTGTGTTTCAGATGTTACTTGATACAAAACATCTGCACAATGCTGCAACAATCACAGTTCTTTTTATTTATTTATTTATTTATTTAATCTTGGCCATTGTCCCTCTTGTGTCTGTCAGCCTTTCAAAACAAAAGTAAACAATTAAATTATCAGAAAGTTATATCTCAGATAACTTGCAAAAAATGCAGGGGCTAATAAGGAGTGAAAACAGTAGGTGTATTTTGTTAACCATGTTGTTCAAATAAATGAAACATTGATTTTTTTCACAATTCTATGGCACTTTATGATTTGATGAAATGAAAAATTCAGTGCCAACCTTCTGGTAACTAGTACAGCACGCAGGTGGAAAGCAGTGGAAGCCTTGCTGATGTCCAAAATATAATCATAACCTGTTTTGTGGATTGAAACCTTAGAAATCATGTTGACTAATTCAAGTTTGAAAAGAATTGATGCTTCGATTTTCAATACCAAAAAGAGTGTTTTTATCAGTTCACTTGATTGATATATTAAAAAACATTTTCCTGAAGTGTCTTCCTCAACATCGTGGAAATGGGTTAATGCTGCAGATGACTGCTCTGTACATACGTGTTTCATATTTCTTGCTTTCTAGTGCATAAATATCCTGACATAAATGATCACAAATTGTCAGTTGCTGTCAGCAATTAAAATTGTCTAATTTCCACATGTTCCACTTTGTATAATTCCAGTGATATGTCATATGTAACTTGTTTATTAATGTTAATTAAATTTTTTTCCAGAACCCATCCAGAGAGATTTTAAGGATAGCCCTTCAGCACGTTACTTGGGAATGGGCAGAGGACGTCCAGGGCCATCATATGAACGGCAAGACAGAGGTGTTGGAGTGCGAAGAAGAGAAGTTTCTGAAAAGGTCTCCCGGTTTCGAGATATGATACGCCCACGCTCTCCCAAATAGCGGGACTTCCAACTGAAGAAACTGCAACTAGTGCCGAAGTTGCACATTGTATATCTATGTAAGCACTCAGCAGGTTTGGCCATCACTTTGGATGTGTTACACTTTCACAATCCAGCTGACAGGGTTCTACCACTTCCTTATGATAAAAGTATGGATATCAGCATCTGCCGGTGCAGCAAGTGATTGATTTTCCAAATCAACGAATGAATTTTCCTGTGATTGGTGCTGGAGGCTTACATGAACTGATGCACAGTGCGGGTTCAGATGGATGTTATTAAAAATTAATGTCTTAAGAAGTGGTATTGTGATATATCAGAGTATAAGTTAATAAATATTTGTTTTTCATTAGTAAAGAAAGTTGGCATGTAACAGAACTGTAAGTGAACTTGTGTGCTGGTCTTCTCTTTCTTTCAATTTTTTTTGTCTTTTTTTTATATATATATAATTTTTTTTGTTATTATTATTTTTTTCTTTCTTTTTTTTTCTTCTTTTATTTTTTTTTTCTTTTCTTTTTTCCTGTGTCGCTTTGTTTCAATTTGAATGGTGGATGAAAGCAATTTTGTAGTGTTTAGGTGTCATTAGTCAAGTAATATTGCACAGTAGGTAAAACCTAGAGAGTCACGAACTCCCTAAGAAGCCCAAAGCTGGCACCAAGTGCCTCAGAACTGATTTAACAGTGCTCTTTTACGTTGCAGCTGTGAATAACAGTGGGTATAAAGCATTTTGTCATGTGACAAGAAGACTTTTATATACTGTTTATGCAAAACCTTTAGAGTATATATTATATATTACTAGAACGTGGTGTAATGGTGACTTGCAGCCTTATGCATTGTTTAGGCTGCTGAGTTGCCTCCAGTTATCATGCATACAACTGAAACTTAATTATTAGACTCTCCCTCCTCCCCTCTGGATAGTCATTGCTCATGGAAACAATGATTTGATGCTAAAGATATTGTGTTATTCCTTGGTAGTTATCATTTTTGTGCTGTTGATAAACAAATTTTACCACTAAGAAGAGTTGATATTATGTGATAATGTGAAAAAGAAAAGGGCCTTTACCAAAAAATGGGTGTGGCATTTGCAGTTGTGGTTTTTTTAGGGGGGAGGGGTGAAGGATGGTGCACTGCTGTATATTTGTATGTTAGAGAAAATGCGAACGAAAGAGAGAGAGAGAGAGTGTAGGAGTGTGAGTGCATGCATGTAGTAACTGTGATAGCCCCAAAACCCTTCCTTCAAAAGAGGAAAAGTACTATCAAAAATTATATCAGGGATAGCATGAATGCGGTATTCCAGAAAGTTAATCTGCAGTTGTTGTCCAGTGATAGCTTCATTTGAGAGATTTTCAAACTCCTATCAAAATTTTAATTGCGTGTTCCTTACTTATATTTGGCAAGTTGTATTAGGTAACTTAAGAATTATATATTCAACTATTTGCTAATAATGTAAATTCAACGGTATATGCAATTTATCAGCTGTCACTGGTATTCAGTGCAGTATTGAAGAAAGGGTATGGTTACAACTCTACTTTTCTTCTCTTTACCCTTTCTTCCACTCTCTCTTTCTCTATCTGTTTTCTCATAATTCTTCAGCTATGCCATGACTAAAGTCAGAAAAAAAGGTCTGATGTCCTTGTACACAAGCTAGTGGCAGCACTAGTAGGCTCTTAGATGATGGGACTGAATTGGTAAATTTAATTAAATTTTAACAATAACATATGTTACTTGTTATTGCTTGTATAATTTATTTATGAAACTGCCAGTCAAGGCCTTCTGTTAACCCATTGACTCCATTGACTATTTTGTGTAAAAAAAACAACAAAAAAATTGTATATGTGTGTGCATGTAGCCTAACACTGCTATATACTGCTTGAAATGTTACAGAAGGTGGCATTTAGTATACACACATCTTTCCGAATTTGAAGATTGGGGATCATGTGGCTTCAAGCACTTTTCCTTTACTTGGCCTGTGCCAGAAATTACTAAAGATAAATTAAAGACTGATGTTCACTTTAAAACCTCTTTAACCATGCAACATGTGCTGGTGACTGGTAGATTGTGAAAAGCCTCTAGATGGTCATGTGGCTAACAATTCTTTTAAAAAATTGTTACTTAATGGCTGGTAAAGTTTTCAGGGTTGAATCGATATATTTCGGGCAAAGGCTGGTGCTTTCAATTGAATAAAGCAAGTGATTTATTCTCTTGTTCAGGGCCTATGTTTGGAGTAACAAAATTTTGAATCTTGTGTGTTAAAGAAAATAGTTTTTAGTGTCTGGTATGTAGGTTTACTGTACACCAGTTGTGCCCATAAAGATGACAATAACCTTGAAAAATGTAACTTCAATTCAACGGACACTTGGAGCTAACAGATGCAACCCTGAAATACTTTTGGAAGTTTGGATGTCGAAATTTTTAGGAATTCGCAATGGAATAAGATAATGATTGTGGGAAGCAATGCTGTGGTGCTTGGAGCAAAGTAGATTATGGGCAACTCATAGCTACCGGAAATAAAATCAATACCATTTGTTAGTGTGTGCATGGAAGTATGAAAGTTTGTGTCTCTCTCTTGAAAAATAACCTCCCCCCTCGTTGTACAGATCAACTAACAAATTTATTTTTGACAAATATGTATAGAATGCAGGTTAGTTATCTACCTTAAACATATAAAAAGGAAAAGATAAAAACTGTTTGCCCTTTGCCAGCTGCGATGTGTTACAAACTTGGAAGTTTAGTATGAAAATATAAAGTTTGTAGTGTGGGATGATGAATGTTATACCAAAACCATATTGGTGTTGGGATTGTGGGCAACTGTAAAAAAAGACGTAAATGCGTATTACATACACTATTATTAGTGCTTTATTATTATCTGGGTACAATGTATTATAGTAGTGAGCCACATGTAGTGGTCATCATTGCTATGCTTCCTGTGAGACAGAGAAAGAGAGAGAAGATAACCTGAAGTGGACCATATCTATTAAAGCTTGGGACTCATCTTCACTTACGGAAATAATGGACACAATGTGGAAATGTTTGATGCATAGACCATTTCATGTGAGCACTCTACTAAAATGGTTAATGATGTATGGGTGTGTGTGGGTGGGTGTTCAAGCATGTGTGTTGTTATCACTTTTTCCTTTCTGTTTTCTTTCTTTTTGCCTAGCATTGGAAGTTTAGAAGAGAAGTCCAATTTTTTTAGCAACAGTAAACAAAATTACAATTATTTTATTGTTATTGATATTAAAGTTGCATAGAATGGTTTGTTTATTTGTTCTTGAGCAATTAAGTTTTCAGACATTTTATCTAGGAATATATGAAAGTTCCAGGTTTCATTTGTTCATTCATTAATTCATTCATTCATTCATTCATTCACTGTACACACTTCTTTGATTAGGAATGCATTTTCTTAATATGCTTTCTCGTATACAAACTGAAGTTAAAATGATCGAACTTTATTTCCAACTTCCAATGCAATATGAGGTTTAGTGTGATAAGTAAATTTGACTTGGGCACTTTGTTTTAGACTCGTTGGCAGGGCAATTTGGCAAGGATGTGTAGTTACAATTTCCAATATGGTGGGGAGGAAACTATTAATATTTGACAGGTTACTGTTACTTCTTTCCCCAGTTTGAATTTGCTTAAATGACATCAAAGGCAGGCTTAATTTTATTTAAACTAACTAAACTGCATATCTCTGTGGCGGAGGTTACAATAGCTTTCTCTTTGTTTTTTAATATTGTCCACCTGCTTTTGTTTTCTTAACCGAATGGTTGCTATCATTTATTGATCGTACTTACACTGGAATTGTAACATTAGCACTATACAAGAGGGAATAATGAAGTTAAAGTATCCTTATCAGAATAATTAATTTTAGTTCAAAAGAAATGTGCTTCCATTAGATGTATAGGCAGCCTCTGTTACTAAACTACAGCTCTTCTATAAATTTGGCCAGGAAAGTAACAGTAGTTTCTAATCTAGTGAACCTTTGTGATGCACATTATAATTTGTCTGGTTGCATGGTCAAGAAAGTGAGTTACAGCAACCACCCTGTGCTACACAACTATGCCATTTAATAATGTGAACATTTATATGGAATAAATGTTCTATCAAGTGTGTATCCTGTAGCCAAATGCAGTGTTATAATTTCAATTTTTCTAATTATGAAACTGTTTGCAGAAAATTTTGTGGGTTTTAAAATTTTTTATTGTTTTGTTGGGTTTTTAAGCAAGAGTGATATCAAGACAAATGTATTAAAAAACTGGAAAGGTTGCCTTTCCTCAATGAGGAAAGGTTTATGTGAGGTAGCCTCATCTCTCAGGGTGTATTGTAGTTAACTTGAAAGAGATGATTTATGGCAGAAAGCAATTAAGTGAGGTGTATTATTTATATTTAATCTAATTTTGCATAATACATAACTTAAAAGTATATGCAGCATGATTAGACCTTTTGTTAAATAAAGTGGTAAACTGCTTATAGACATAATGTTCTTCATAATTTGTGCGAGGTGCTGAAACTGTTGCCCTTTAATGTCTAATATCATGCCAATGTTGTGCAGCAGATAGGCCTTAATTACAATTATGAGGAAAACTGGATATTTTGGTTGTTCTTTTTTCTGTTGAATTTGGTTGGAAATAAAAAAAATGCATGTGGTGTCCAGATTGTAAATCGTTGTTTGCCCTTGGACCTGGGTATATCCTGAAAGGAGGTCAATGGAAATGAATCATGTGTGAAAGTTAGCCATGTGCAAATGGCTTGCTGAGTAAATTAAATGCAAACTTTGGAATGCCTAGATGTGTATATATGTTGAATACTTTCTGTTTCCATTATTTGGATGAAATTTTGACTTGTAATTACAAAAATGTAATATTTGAATGCCTAAAATGTTGCAAGGATGACTTTGTGTATGATTTGGTGCCTCTATAGATCTGAATTATGGACCAGTTATATTGTTAGATTCTGTCATTTGACCTTTAAAGCCCCTCCAGTCTTTAAATAGCAGTTACGTTTCATAATCTTTATAATACACTAATTGAATTATAATAAATTTGGTTGTGATTAGAACTGATGCGCTTTGAGTACTTTGTATTGCAGCATATGCTAAGGTATATGGGGGCAATAATAGTGGATTTTGGGATGTTGATTGCTTAATAAAGTTTTTTAACAGGAGAATCCTTGATTGCCCCAATTTGAATTTAGTATCAAGTAAGTTCCAGCATGTTCTTCTTATGCATTAGGAAAGTTGTAGCATTAGAAGTTGAAGAAAGGAAGTAAAATTGCAATTGAATGGAGCAAAAAATGGTAGTCGGTGAACATGACATGTAGATGGTATGGTCTTGAGTGGGGAGGGGGGGAAAAATGGTATAGCCATTTAATTTGTACATTTTACTTGGGGATGAGGAACTAGGAGTTACAAACATTGCAACAATGTGAAAATAACTTGTGGTTTTTTGATCTGACCAAACTCAAAACGTGTTGTTTGAAATAAATATTTTAGCTTTCAGAGGTTTCTGTTTTACAATTTCAAAATCTTCTCAAAAACTATTCCAATTCTTAGTTTTCAAATGTCTTTCTTTCAAGCACTAGTATCTAAAGAACCGTACACAAGGTTTTCTCTTTATCTCATCCAGAATGAATATTCCTTGATCTAACTGCAGAATATGCAAGTTCAAATTTTTAGGAGTACTTTACTTCAAGCTCTTACTCCCCCATGATGGTCATATAAACTCGAGTGATATTTTCTAATAGCACCAATGTTTGAATAGACTGTGCTTGTACATATGTTTTTTTACAAAAATTTCGAAATTCAAAAATGCACTAGTTGTTTTTTGTTTTAACTTCGCCTTTATAATTGAAATTAAATCTCCTTCACCATGCAATGTTTGTGACAATCGCGACTTAAAGATTATCATTATCGTAGTTTTTTTGCATAGTGTTGAGTGAAATCCAGACCATTTTCCACATCCGGGAAGAAAATCTGAAAATTTGTGGAAAATACTCAAATTCTTGTCAGTGTTGGGACCAAAGCGTTTGTAAAGGTAAAACTCCATATGGATGGCATAAGTGTCCTTGGTCATTAAGACCTAAATGGTCACAAATGAAAAGATGCTTTTTCACGGACGGTACTGAGTTGTTGACTACCTTGGCGGAATATTGGTTTCCATGGGGAAAACAAACCAATGCGCTCCAGTAATCATCTCAGCACAGGAAAACAATTCTACTAATTGAAAGTGCCTGCAGAGGCGATGTTGGGTCTGAAGCGATTGCCAAATGAAATAACTCGTAGCTGACCGCGAAAACATTCAATGAGTTCAAGCATGCTCAATTTTCGCGCGGTTTCAGCTAGTTGGAGGTTTTAAATTACACATTGTATCTCCACTTTGTGGAATGCGATGGAAACTAAAGAAAATGAATGTAGCGGTTTACTGTCCAACATTGCATTTCAAACATTTTAAAACAGTGAAGTGGGATCTTCCCGTTACGAAATCATCCGTCTTAAATTAAAATTTCGGATTGTACTCATTATAAGGACCAAATAGAGCTTTCTTACGTTGCTTAAATAACGTTATAAATTGAGATTCGCTTTGTAATATTGACAAGAGTCGGGTCATAATTGAAATCTGAACTTATGATCGGGTGGTTTCCAATGCCGTGCAGAATTCTTAACACTTTGCGGTCTCTAAAAGCTGAACAGATCGCGCGAAGTTTGATAGTTGGAAATTTCATTCCGCAAAAATGAGTTCTTAGTGCTAAGTAAATACATTTTTATCAACGTCAACGACCTGTTTGAATGTATTGCACAGGGGTTGGATTTTCCAAAAGTTAAAGTATACTTCACTGTTAGTAAGGTGAATACCTATTCTTACGTCGCTAATGCGTATTGGCCCTAACAAAAAAAGTTGATTATATTTTTTATAAGTCACTTTCTGACTATGGAGTTTTAAAACAAAGTAGTTGCATTCTGAAATAGGTTTGGAAACTTGTGGTGTATAGAGCGTTTCTTAATTAATGTAAGTAAAATGTTCAAAAATTGCCAACGACTGGTTTATTGGCACTTCAGTCAATCTCTTGTTCAGTGTAAATTTGGCTATAGTATATTCGCAATTATTGTTAATTGGAAAGGGCATTCTGGTCATGATGCACAGGTGGCTTGTTTCCGGAAAACCTGGAAGTCGTGTTATTTATTATAAACAGTGCCAAATTACCTAGTAGCCTGGGGCGGGCGAATTTCGGCGGATTAAAAATTTCATACGGCGAACTTTTAAATGTTTTTTCAGAAATATTTCGTCTTATATTTGTAACAAAAATTAATCAAATCCCAACACTAAAACTTTTTATTTTATTTTCCAGAACAACACATTCACGCGCTGAAAATATTTTCTTTATTTGTTGCTTTAATTTTACGTGTTCCCATATGGAAAGTTACAAGGTCGTGTCTGGAAGTGAAGCAGTGCATATAAATAAGTCCTTACAAATTACACAAATAAGTCGCGTTCTTCCACTCTTGCAACATTGTCTCTCTGTAGGAATGAGGTGATCTGGTCCAGTCCTGTCTTGGAATGGAACGGTTTCACGGAGTTCTGATCTTGGTGTCAAGGGGTGTGACACCATACTAGAAACAATTCGTCTTGTGAAATTCTAGCTAGTCCAGCTTATCTTTTGGAGAAATAATTTAATGCATTCACCATTCAGCTACTCTTACTGTTTATACAATTCCAAAGAATGGGCCAGTACCATTTTTGGATCTTATAACTGGCCTATTCTGGGAAATAAATCGATCCAACAAATCTACACCTCCCATATGCAAATTGTAGTTTGAAATTAGAGCCGGCTGTGGTATTTATACTGTCTTAATTGGCTTTGACTGTGCCGCTTTGTCGCAGAGGGTAAACAATTTGAAGCCAGGCACACTACTGTCTTTCCACTTGACAGCCAAAATTTTCCGTCACACTAGAAAACAAATATATCTCTCGAGTTTATCTGCATTTTTTACTTCATTCAATGTACATTTCTTTAGACTCTCTTCTCTCAGGTCAAGTAACTCGAAACCCTCGGCTTCTCAGTTCAGCCTACAAATCATAAGAAGTAAAGTTGTCCATAAATACAATATGACTTTATGAATTCTCCACACTTTCTAGCAAATTCATTACTATATTGCCCAGTGGTTAATCCGATTTCCTGATTGATTCTTTCCACTATGGATCTGTTTTGAAGGCGAATCGAGAAGAACACAGCACTAGTTTGAACCCAAATATAATGTTTTTTCCACGCAACGTTTTGCAGTGGTCTCCCAAAATAAGAGAAACAACTCTACTCACGAATGCTGCCTTATTTTGCAAATTGCTGCAGAGATAAGTCTACTTTATCAATAAGGGTTCTTATTTCTGTCATTTTATCCCCAGAAATTTTGGAAACCGGAGATCCACTAGAACGCTTAATTGCGTTTATTTGTAGTGTTGGGCACAAAGTTCAAATACAAGGTATTCTTGACTTATTTCACACATTAGGTCTTCATTTGCTGGATTGGAGAGCACAAAGCTACGACAATGAGGCGAATATGTCTGAGCTACAGTGTCTACAAGCACGAATTCTAAATCTGAATCCTCTAGCCATTTTCTTACCGTACTCAGCTCCTCCTTTGCAGCTGGTGGTTCAGCAGCTACTGAAATCAGTAATGCAGCAGCGTAAGTTCCATAGGGACTGATTGCACCATGTCTGGCGGAATTAAAGTAAATTTCAGTGATTGAAAAGGAATTCTTGCCTACAAAAAATGTTATGAAATAAAAATATTTGCTGAGATTTATTTTAACAAGTTATACAATCACTAGTTGCTATTACTTAACTCGACATCTTCCGACACTCGCTGGCAATAATTTCGTTGAAGTTTCTCTTTCATGAACCCATGTCGAATATTTAAAATTGAGTGACTAACAGGAGAAAGTTAATATTAAGTTAAAGGGAAGTGTTGTGACGTTCCGGGTTGTATAAATTCCCAGTCTTGACTCTGAAATAAAACTTCATATTTTTTTTCAAACTTTGCATCATCAACAAAGAAAAGTTTAATTTTTTCTTGTTTTGTTTTTTATTAAATGTTTAAACAAATATAGACATTGTTTGAGCATTGTGCTATTCATAATTTAAATCTTGTGCTGAATGATGTCATGAATGGGATATTAGAAGTTCTGATATTTTACTGTTTGTTGGAACGAATGGAAGTTTTCTTTGGTCAAGATATTTTAATAATTTGCGAGCTTCAAAAAACATTTTCTAACAAAACGTCTGAAGTCCGAAAAAAAACAACGAAATGAAACATTTGGATTAGTTTTCCATGTAGTACAACATTCCAAAATACGAACTAACACTGTTTCGAAATACCATAGAGCCCTAATTAGAATTTGCAAGCGGTATAGAATTTACTCAATAGAGCTTACGAAGAATAGAAGACTGTGAGGATTTGGGAAATGATGCAACAGAATTATCCAAAGTCTGGAAAGGTGAAATATAGCGATAAGTAAGTGAAGGAAACGAAACGACATTTTGACGAACGAGAATCAACTACTCTCCGATGGCAAACACAGATACAAACTTAATGTTTATTATGGATACCTAGATATGGCCAATAACCAGTTGAATCGATGATTTGATGGATTGAAAAATGCAATTACTAAATTGAAAGTGATAACTCTTTCGGACGATGCAATTTACGAAGAAGCATAAAATCTTCAATCAAAATATCCTGCAGGTGTTGCGGAAAACTTTTCTCAGCTATTGTCTGCGCATTTTTTAGTCATTTCATAACTAATATCTGTTAAATACTTAATGTTACTTTACAAATCCACCAAATTACAACATCCTACAATTGACAATTTTATGCATAAAGCGGTCAAAAATTAGGTGAATATTTCAATTCTGAAGAAACTAGAAAACCGATCGCGTGTATTTGAAATTAATGGCATTTAAGTGCCCTTCGATTCTATGGATCATTCCAATCCCACGAGAAGACATCCAGCCTCAAACTGCCACTGAGAAACGACATAACCAGGGTACTTGCTTTACGTGCCGAGAATCATAGCGGCTTACTTCGGGCCCGACGGCCCGCGAACGGATCCATCATTTGTAGAGGAGAATATACTCTCATCAGAGAAAATGACATCAGTTCAGCCTCGATGTAA